ACGACCTTTAGAGGTCCCTTCCAACCCAAACTATTCTATGATTCTATGATTCTATGAAAGCAGAATTTTATTTCTGAATAATTCTTTGGCTGCTGATCATGGCTGTACTTAGAAGAGCTGCTTTTAGGAAAACCCTAGCCCAGCACTGTGCTAGAGACTCACTTTCCATATTCGTAACTCCCACTCCACAGAACTGGACCAGCTCCATCTCACAAGATTACCAGCTAGATTATTTAGTTTCTCAACTATGGATTAAAATCACAGGATTCAACATAGAGCTACAAGGCCAAATCTGCCTTGTGATTTGGCAATCAGACGAATCTACTGGCCAGCTCCTAACAGATTTCTGGCCAGGCATCCAGAAGAAATAAAAGCAAAGCAAAATTATAGCCTATACCAATACACACTAGAGGGGAAAAAGAAGTGGAGTTCATTTTTCATCTGAAATGATGTAGTCACTTCAACCATTCCCTTGAGAAGTGAAGTTGGTTAAAGCACCTACATGCAGCTACATCCTGAGACATCATCTGTGTCCAAGTAATTGCCAGTTTTTAACATTAATTGCCTTACTTTATATTCATGAGAAAATAAACTATCAAGGAGGAGACGTACCATTTTGGTAAAATATATTTAAGATCCTTCCTGAAAAATCAACCCTTGAGAATGGAAATCAGGTAGATTTTAGCCACCTCATTGGTACAAGCACAACCTTCTCAGGTGCTGAGAAATCAGAACGTCACAGTTCAGGGGAAGAGATGATCCATCCAAAATTGCTGTGCCTTACTGAAAGACTCACACACATCCAGCCTCACAAATATAAATGTGAAACAGCTTCTAGCTGTGATTTTCTTAGGTTTTGTTACCTGTACTTTGATTGAGATATATTCTAGGACTCTTGCGCAGCTTTTTATCAAGATTACTTTGAAGCAGATTAGAAGGACAAACCTAACCTGTTCTCCCAGGAGGAAAAACTGTATCTTACAGTACCTCTTGCATGAAGTTCTGTGTCCTCTGAATCACAAAATCAATGTGATAGACCTTGAAGCGACTCTTGAGGTCTTGAAGGAGCTCCTGGAGAAGGTTCACTTTCAGATAGCAGGGCTCCATTTTCACAGAGTTGAATGGTAGGTTCATAAGCTGATCCACATTCTGCGTTCCAGTGGAAGAAGAACAGGTTTTGAGAGAAAGCAACCAGAGGCAAATTTTTAATAGAGAATGTAACAGTGGCCCTAAAACAAATTCTTATATCTACACTCTAGTTCCACAAATACCACAAGACTTTCTAAGTGACAAAACTAAGCACTAACATACTACCACCTGGGAAAGCAAATACTGCTTGTCCTTGTGGTAATGTAAAAGGCTCCAGATCTATTTTTGTCTTACCTCCTTTAGCTTTGTGATATCATTTGTCTTCTGGAAGTCCTGGATGATTTCATTAACTTCTTTATCAAAAAGTGAGCGGACTTCCGTGAATCCAGAACTCACCGGACCCATGAGCTCCTCCAATATGGATGCGAGAAATGGCTGGATATTTTCTGTGCAGCATTTCTGGGCAGGCTCAGAAACAGTGGCTGGAGTGCCAGACAATACAATGGTTACATTTAGGCTAGTAAGAGATACAGTGAAAAAAGTAATCTGAACTGATCTACTTTACAATGAATTAAACGACTCCGTATTTTTTCCCTGGAGTCACACCTCTGCAAAGATGATGAGGGTGATGAGAGTTTATAGTTTTATGAGTGACAATGAAACACCTTTTCCCATGCCCCACCTAACCAAATGCTAGCAGCTTGGGGCACTGTGAGAGCAGAGGAAAGAGCAGCTGTCAGTATTGATACACACTGGGAGGTTTGCACAGAGCGTGGCCACAGTGACTCTATAAGGAGTTATCCGAACTTGGTACTCTACAGTTCACTGAAAGCATCCTAGTCTGGTATGTGAGAATATCAGCAGACCATCCTTATTTTTATCAAAACAGGTCCTAAATTATCAGCTATTTATTTATTTGCTAGCTTAAGCAACATCAACTAATATTTTGCCTGCTTTTTACACTCATTTTTATACCCATAGCAAAATTATAATTACTTCACATCAGTTTAAAACCACCTAAGAAGCCGTTTGGATTACGTATTCTTTGGTAGCCTATGAATTTGTCACATAACCAGAACTGGTTTTGTGGCGCATTCCTAGACATCAGGTCAAAACCACACTTTTAATTATGCTCATGTGACCTGTATCTTCATTACATAAGGCTGTCCAAGTGAAAATGAAAGCAGAACGAGCACCTCTAATCAGGATACTCAAAACCTGTCAGCTCTAGCTCCAACTTGAGAAGACCTGGTATTTTCACAGACACAGCGGCCATAGGTATCAGTTCCTATCAAAGGCAGCAGAGGCTCAAAGCATTTGTTTTCTGAAAATTAGTGTCTCCAGTTGGATTTTTCAAAACACATGAAAATTTCAAAACAATGACATCTGGTAATTTGAACAACACAATGGGAAACATTAAAAAAATTGCTCCAAAACACAGCTGTTCCTCCACTAACCTTTGATTTTTCCAGCTAAGAAGTTCTTGGAGTTCAGAATCTGATCCATGTCTGAGCGAATGGTTCCTTCAAGAGTTTTTGCAAAATCTCTGCATTCTTCTTTCAAGCTACTTAATCCTTCTGAGACCTGCTGCTGGACTAAGCCGTATGTTTCTTCTACGATCTAAACCCAAATGAAATTAAGAAGCATAGATCAGAATCAGCACACACAGACAACTGCTATGAGAAACAACTACTCTGCAAATATCAGTACTTACACCAAACCAGGCCCGCTTCCTATCATTCCTCTTTCCTTTCATTTTGGGCAGGATCATTGTCTGAAGGTTAGGCAGGAGTTCCTCCATCACAAGGTTGCTCAAGATCTATATGGTCAGAAGATTAAAATTATATGTTCACACACTGTTCTTCATCTGAAAACTGAGCATTCGCATCACAGAATGATGTGCAAATGCAGGCAACCCCAAATATACAATGGCTTAGCCATCCGAGGTTGGCAGGAAGATTGTATTTACAATATTAGGTATGTCTCCATGCTCCATGTGTTTCATCTGAAGCATTTTTCACTGAAAGATTTTGAGAGACCATGCAACAATTGACAACAGATGAACTGAGATGCCCGTTAACATTTACTGCATGCTATTATGAAATTGCCATGTGAAAATCAATAGAGCTAAACCGATTGATATCAGCTGAGCAACCGGATCAAAAACATTTGAAAAGTTGGTTTGCTGACTGCTGCTTCCCCAAACTGACCTTGTTCTGGGACACTCACACCCTCCCAGAGGAGGTATCATCAAGGAGAAATTGTTCTAGAGAGTCATCAGACAAAGGATGCTTCTAGTAGGAAGATAACTGGCCAAAAAAAGAAATGTATGCCTGTACCAACATGGATCTCTAGCACTTTTTTGGATGAGCACCAACTTCACAATTCAAACAAGAAAAGAAGGAGATCCCAGGAAAAACAGGATATAGGACAGAAATGGAATCCAGAAATGTGGATAATCTGTGAATCAAATACTTCTACTCTGATTTTTTTTCAAAAATGTGTAACATGATCCAAAAGATTCATTAGCTCAAACCTAATCCTGAGGCAAAAGGGATAAAAAAAATAGCTGTTGGAGTTTGTGAAAAACTTTTCAAGCAATTACTTTTGTCACTAAAAGACAACTATACTGGTCTAAAACCAGTAAAACTTTCACATTGTAGAATTCATATACGTTAGTCTCCTCCCAACACCTCCAGATTATGGAACAAAAAACATACGAAATATACAACCTAAGAAAATACTCTGTGACAAAGGTGCACCACAGCAGAAAGGCAGGCGGGAAAAAAGTGTCAAAGGGACTTCTACACATCAAGCATTTGTGATGGAATGTAGGAAAACTGAGGAAAAGGTCTCATTGCCCCATTTTTTTATTATTTCTGTAAGTATATTGTTGGTCTATCATTGCTTTATTTTTCTAAATTGACACTGAGTACTTTTCTCCCTCAAGAACATTTTCACTTTGAAACAGGGTTCAGTGGTTGTAGAAGAGATGCATCACCCTCTCTGATCCCAGCATCTAACTGGCAGTTCGGCCTTGCAGATGGTTCCAATTAGAAAGAAAAGACATCAGACTGGGAATACAGATTATACCAATTTGGGGGAGTGGTCAATACACTGGCAGGCAAGGCTGCTATTCAGAGGGACCTAGATGGGCTGAAGAAATGGGTGGACAAAAACCTCATGAAGTTCAGCAAAAGCAAATGCATAGTCCAACATCTGGGATGGAACAATCTTGTGCACCAGTATAGGCTGGCAACAAATGGCTGGAAAGCAGTTTTGCAGAAAAGGACTTGGGCATCCTGGTGGACAAGAAATTTGGGCATCCTGGTGGACAAGAAATTTGACATCGGTCTGCAGGGTGTCCTTGCAGCAAAGGGCAACAGTAGGTCGAGGGAGGAGAACATTCCCCTCTATTCAGCACTTGTCAGACCGCATCTGGAGCAGCATCCAGTTTTGGGCTCCCCAGTACAAGACAGATCTTGACACACTGGAGTGAGTCCAGCAGAGGCCACCAAGATGGTCAGGGGATGGAGTACATGACATGTGAGGTGGAGGGAACCGGATTTGCTCAGCCTTAAGAAGATAAGGCTCAGGGGAGACCTTATTGCTGCCTACATAATGGAAGATGTTGGGCAGATGGAGCCAGACTTTTCTTGGAAATGCACAGGGAAAGGAAGAAGGTGATGGCTACAAGTAGCAACAAGGGAAAGAGTAATCAGGGATTAAGAAATATTTTTCACCATGAGGGCAGTCATGGGAACAAGTCATGCAATCTCCAACCTTGGATATCTTCAGAACTCAACTGCACAAAGCCCCTAAAGTTGGCTCTGCTTTGAGTGGGGGATTGAGCCAGATAAACTCGAGAGATCCCCTTTTAACTAAACTGTTCTCGGGTTCTGTAGTTCTCTTGATAGTGTCACCCAACTTTGTACAGAAGAAGCATCGAAGTCTGGCTTCTTTGATACAGAAAGAATGAAAAGGTGTGAAACAGATTCCTAGTTTGATTCACTGGCACCCATTTCAGAAGTTTTCTTCAGAATCACCCACTCTGTCAGGCTTTGCACCTCCTCTGCCTAGATTTGAACTACAACTTCTTCCTTGCCCATCCCACTCAGACGCACCAAATTGGCAATAAATACACAGAGTTACATGCACACATCTGATTCTGAGAGTCTAGGCTTTCCTCTCCATTTTTTTCTTTATGGACACTGTATCTCTGGCCTGAGAAAGCTGCGAGACCTCTCTTTCTCCTGCGCTTTCCTTCTGCTGTTGGCCAACAAGGCAAACTATGCAAGCAGAGGGCGGCAGTTCATCATAGGACCTGCCCTATTCCTATTTCTTTGTGATCTCAGGTCTCTGCACATGTTTCCTATGGAGGCATATATCAGTGCTGGGGATATATGCTAGATTCTTGAATTTCTCTACTTAAAGCATCTTGATTTTGAACTAAATACCTCAGTCCCATATTTGGTTCAGTCATTAGTCATCCTCATGATTCAGAGGAGGGAGGGAGACCTTTTATTTCTGGACATGTTCGTTTTCTGTTCATAGATCTTGCCCAGGTATGTTTGTACTGGCCCATAGTTAGAGATGCACAGCTGCCAACTTATGATGACAGAGGCAATACTATTGTGCATGTGCTATACAGAATGGCACATAACCCTTTCATCACGGCTTTTTATCTGTCATGACTGTACAGCACATACGTGGGTGCCCACAGTCCCCTGAGAGCTTTGAAATGCAGTGGATATCCTGCAAATCACAGAGAGACATAGTAACCCTATAAAAAAGCAAGACAAAATGCACCTTAAGGTTCTGTACATTTCTCATTTAATCTGGGTGAAGGATTACTAGCTTGCTCAGCAGTTTCAGTAAAGTCTCACAGACAAAGTATGTAGTCCTCCTTCCTCTCCAGTGCGGCTTGAACAGAGTTTTTGCTAAGTGATGAGTATTTGAACCCAGCTTTTCCCCTTGCTTCAACAACAGCCCAGCACAGTCCTCATTCAAGGATCACTGCCCTGATGCACCCAGCTGCTGGCTGAGCCAATAGAGAGTGCAAAAACACTGCTCAATTTTGTATTTTCATCATTCTTGGAGTGCCAGCATTTCATGACATTCAACCTCACGTATTACAGCTGCTCGAGTGGGTTTTAGACATACAGTTGATACTAAAGTCAGAGCAACACTGCTTCCTCCAGCTGTTACACTTAACAAAGGGCTCTATGAACATGAGAAACACTCCTTGTGTGGGGACGTGCTCCTCCTTTACTGCTATCAAGAGTCCCAAGATGCACCAACAGCACGATAGGGAAACGACAGGAACTCAGACAGCAAAAGTAAGTAAGAAAGGGCTCTGACTGCATGCCACTAGTATAAAACAGAGTACCTCCTGGGCATAAGACAGCCCCTACAGAAACATAACACACAATACCCTACTTATTAATATACGTGTAATATACCTATAATATGTAATACCCTATTATTGTTGTTTCATATAACTTAAATTCTTATAGATTATGCCACAGCACCACTCAAATTCAGCTATGCTGACTCAAATACCTGTCAAAACCAATGGACAGGTCCTAAACTAATGAGTCACTTAAAAAAAAATCTCACGAATAACCCAAACTGGAGCACCACAGACGGAATAATAAATGTGACAACAGATCAAATATATTCTGAAGAATCTGAGCTCTCTGGAAACATTTTTAGGAATGCTGGATTGGCTTTATATTTCTGTACTGAAAGGTGCACGGTAGAGGTTTGGGGTTTTTAATCCCTTATTCAGCTATCCTTGATTTACCAATATGTTATTCTACATTCATGTTGTACTGATGAATGGAGTTATGCTAGTATAACATTAGTGTCCTGTAGTGCTTTCGCTATGTGGCTGTACTGTTGCTTATAACAAGTGTTGTCAAAAATTTCCTGGTTTTAACCCTGTATTTCAGCACTTAACCTACAGAAATACCATCTACAATTGAATTTATCCTTTGTTAGTAACGAAACCTTAAAAATGAAAAAGAAGAAAAACAAAACCAGGAAAAGGAACTTTTATGACACAAAACAAATTCAGTAGGTCTTCAGGCAAGTGACTGGGTACTTGCTAATATTACATCCATGTTGCAGTACCTAGGCAGAACCGCGTGAGCTAATGCTGCGGAGACTCTGTCATTATAAATGAATGTGAGGGAATGTATTTATTGGCATTCTGCAGAGATTTTTACAGAAACAAATTGTAGCTTGCTTGTTCCAAACCATTCACTTAGCTTGGATATCTGCCTAAAATAATTATTATATTTGGTCAAAGCAGCATGAGAACACACTATACTTACAGAATGAATTATTACTAAGAAGATAATAGCGTAACTAGTCTGGATGTCTTCTGATTACAGTTCTCTCGAGGTATAAGGGTTATGAGTAAGTAGTTGGCAAGCAACAGGAAAAATAAAACATAAAATGAAACTAGCAATATAATAGCTCCATAACTTGAGGGAGGAGGGGAGAAGAGAAAAACCCTCACTCCCTCCACTGGAAGGATGGAACTCCTTATACTAAGGATTTTATTATCAGATGTTAGCAGGAAACTTCAATCCCTGACATGATGGCACTGGGAAAGACACTGTTTATAGATTCTTCTCCGGTTTCCACATTTTTCAGCATTTCAGAGGTAGACTTCTCCTAAAATGAATAATCTGGTTTCTTAAAACAAAACCCTGCATCGTGAACTCTCCATCAGGCTTTTTTCCATTTTCCCAAAGGGAAGCCAGATTTCATCAAGGAAAACACCCAGCAGCTGGTACTAAAGTAAATATTTGCTGCTGAGTGCTCAGTGCTGCGGAAAAAAATTATAAATTGGGGCCCAAATAATGTCTCAGTTGCACTAAAAGACATCTGGAGTGATTCCAGAGGGATCGGTGGAGTTACTTCAGCTACCATCAGTGCTCCAAAGCTGCTCACTCAGGTGCCCAAATATGGACCCAGACCCTGAGCTTAGCATCTCATTTCTGAAGAACTGAAGTACACAAATTTTTGGTGTTTAAGTGTGACTGTTACTATGCAAGACTCTGTTTCAGAAGTCTGGCACAATAAGTAGGTCTACTAGTTTATCCACTCAGGACCAAAAGCTTCATTCCCAAAGAACGGGGAAAAGCAAAATGAAAAGATTCTTCAAAATTTATGTTTAGCTGCTATTCTGTTCTTCATAAAGCCTGATCTCCTACGATGGCATCTGGAGGCATTAGAGGACAAGCAACAGGAAACTGTAACAAAGGTAGGAGCAACAAAAGAAAAAAATATCTCTTACCTGCAAAATAGCTGTCATGAAAGGTAGAAAAACAGAGCACAGCCCAATGCAGCTGACAGCGAGTATCTGCTACATACAAACCGTGGCTTCTGAGTTTTGTATTGCTTTTGGTCTCACCGATTTACCAAAACTATAAACAGCAGCAAACGTGGTAGCGAGATGTTAGCAAGTGCCTTGTTTTAGACACAGCATTTATTCACCAATTGACCCCATGGCATAAAATTAAAGTAGATGTATGAGCTTTTTGTGGAAATGTGGCCATCCCTACATTCCAGCACAACACAACAACTTTAGTTCACAGCACGCTTTCTTTCACTTTCTAGCAAAAAACTCAAAATGGGGTTTATTAAAAAAGTATCATCACTTACATTATCAGTAAGAAGTGTCTTGAAATCTTGGGTATTTCTACCTACTAGATTTTCTTTTTAAAAATGCCATTTTTTCCCAAGAAGCCTTATAACCTTCACTGTCCTCAGAGCTGCCATATCCAAAGCAGAAACAAAATCAGGAAGATATTCTTTTACCTCTTTTTCGTTGCCGGTTATCATTTCCCATGTCCCATAGTGGCCTTTCTCCTGCCGGAAGAACTGAATGGCTTCTAAGAACGCTTCGACTTCATACGTGGTCTGCTTGAGAAAATCTGAAGAAAACAAAAAGTAACAAAAAGTATTTACCCATAAATAACCTTTAAAAAATAACCATCCTTTTTTGATCCATTTTCCTATTCCATGTGCATCTAGCAGTAATACTTTTAAATCATTTACTAAACCAGAACATCTGAAGCCCTTGGGCTTTCCTTAAGATTTAGAAGCATAATGTTGAACTATCACATTACACATATGAACTATCACAAGCCATCCCACCTAGTTGATAAGTTAAACCAACACCAGCAAATGTTAATATGGAGCACATGATAAGGTAAGAGTTTTACAGCAGCAAGCTTTGTCTGTGGTAGACTTTGACAAGGCAGTCATTAACATATGAAAGCTCATCCCTTGCCGTTATACCTATGAGCAATGTAAGATGGTACATGGGAAGACCTTGACAGCACGTACCAGGGCCAAGAGTTGGGAGCTTCTGCTTCTTTAAGATAAGAATTAAGAATTTAAGATAATGATAGTCAGCTGATTGCGGCATGTTGTACACCCTTGATAAATTGCTAAACCCTGAGTTAATGGTCCCCAATAATCTTTTATTTCCTTTGTTTTATTAAGGAATTGATGATCAAGGTGATTTTTCATGGGCATACAATAAAACAGACCTGGACAACGTTAAGCACCATGCTTATTCCAATTAAGCACAAAAACTTCTGACAAAATCATGCTGCTTTCCCTAAATATTTCAGGAATGTTTAACCACAGCTCCTGAGTATCTGGTTATTGTCCACGGCTACTGCTGCTAGATGGTAGCTCTTCCCAAGAACAACATGGTAGCCTGGGGACACTGTTGTACAAATGAGACCACAGCACGGAAAAACCCAAGAAGTGGCTGAGCTAGTTTGCTCTTACAAACTCTGGATAACCAGTCGTACAACAGAAATTACATCTCAGGCAATTTGTTCTTTCCAAACTGCTAAAGGCTTTCAAGAGAGTTGCAGCCAACACTCTCCTTCACATGAGAGCGCACAAAACCGCAGCTAATTAAGATAGTATAACAGCAGTTACACAGCAGAACTAGTTTGTCATGATTTGGGGAGAAACAGTCCCTCTGCCTCAAAATGTGGAAAAGCTCCCCAGAGCAATCAGGCTGCTTGACAAACCTGAGTAAGAAAAACCACCACTGAAATACTTCAGGAATTCAAGTGCTGTGTCTTTGCTATGAAACAGAACTTCAGGATTATTGTGAGGATTATTATCTTAAGGAAAAAACAAAGCCATGACGGTTTATTGTCCCTTCTTCAAGGTTATCTACTTGCAGCCTTGATCAGCTGAAGTCCTGTTGTGCACACGTTAGGAAGAAAGGAGGGAAGAAGAAGAATGTTAATTCTCTCAAAGGTAAGTATGCTGCTTTAAAAGATACTGATATATATAAACAATTGTTATGTGAAGAGTCAGGGAGTAAGTTCTCAAGCCTTGCCCATCAAGCAAGACACTTCTTTTGACTTGTTCATGAAACTTCTAAAGAGAGAAGCTTTATAGGAGGCTTGCATACATGCCAAGGGCAATACAGAGATTATACAGATTATGGGAAACACGAAGGATTAACACTACAGTAATGCCTGAAATGTCTCCTCCATGCGCTTTACACAAAAAAGAAAGCTACAGAAACCTACAATTAGTTTCATCAATGCTTCACCCTGGCTACTGCTTGAAAACAGCACTGTATAGATTTTATCTACGTGGCAGGCAATGAGGTTTCAGATCTGCTAAGAGCCCAAATGTCAGAATTCGCCCTTTTGGAGTTTCCCTGGGTGTAATAATTACTTCAGGAAGGTATGTTATGAGGTGCAGTAAACACTCTCTCAGTGCCACTCTATAGATACCGTCCCCGTTTTGCAGATATTTGGAGGTCCTGAGAGATCACACAATTTTTTCAAGCTCACATGATGATCAAACAAGAGAAAAACAGCCAGGTAAAATCCCAACCATACCTTCACTGCTACCTCCATGATTTATAGCATTTTTAATAGCAAGTCACAAACCAGGTTGCTAAAATATCAGTAAAAGAGTTGTAAGTCAGGCTGTTCACTGCCAAGAGAACATCCTCTGATGGCAGCTTCAATGAAAGAATGGAGTATTCCACCGGAGAAACTGGTGGAGTGTTGCATCTGAAAGCTTTTGTCCTCCCAAAATTAAACTCTGAATATTTTGACAAGAAGAGGGCCGGGCTTGGCTGGAGGAAGGAAGAACTGCAGCTCCTGCAGCCCTCCGTGACTCACATGTTTTCCTTCTTCACAGCTGTGCTCCCTCCTAACCAAAAGGGACAACAGACCATCCAAAGGGCTGGATCTTGGACCTGCTGAGATGATGATGCGCCAGTGCTGACAAGAGTCTGCCCTCTAAGATCATCAAGTCTTAAACTCCATGCTCAAGGGAGTATTTTCTCTCTGTTCTGACTGTCCCCAACACCGTAGAGAAGTGGGAAGAAGGAGCTAAAAATCCAAGAGCAACTCATTTGAATAGTTCATGGGAAAAACATCAAGCTGTAAGTACCATAAAATCCCAATCACTCATTCTTTCCTATGCCAGTAAACACAGGAGAAAAACACAATTATGGCAGTCTTACTACAGCTCAAAGTAGAAAGTAGAAAGGAAGCTTTATCCTTCAAGGCTACTACAATTGCTTAATTTAGGCAATTTCATTCTCACTTTCCATAGGAGGAAAAGATTGCATCAGTGATAAGGCACTGAACAACTAGATCCATCCAGCGTTGTGCTGTGCAGAAGCTGTTGGCGAGGCACACAAGACAGAGGCACATTCATGGGATACGGCTCAAGAAAAGGGAATTGTACCCAAGCTGAAAGGAGCTGCGGTGCACATCCTCCAAGATTTCAGCAGGGAAGAGCCAGGGCTTCTGTAAATCAGATCCAGCAGTTTATGAAAAGGCTAGCGGACTGCTGCTAGCTTGGCAGCCAGCTCCGTTATGCCATAGCAAATTAAGGAAAACAATGAATAAGCTGTTGGGGTAGCCCCGCTTGCGTGCAAGGGAGAGGATGGTGCGTGGGAGATGGAAGCAGATGCTGCAGCTGCAAGCAGGGCAGGTGGTAAACCACAGTGGTATCAGGAACAATTGTTCATCAGCAGAAAGGATGACGTGTGCTTCACCCACCTGAATGCCCTTGAAGGGGCTTCCCCTTCAACCAACCTGGCTAGCACCTATCATGAGTGATGAATCTGTCCCCACAGTTTGTAGAAAGTGGAGCATGTTAGGGGAGCTTGGTGCAGTGGTAGTTGTAGGTCATCCTTATCCAACTCCCATACAAAGCCATAAAGTTTACTGAATGTCCTCCAGCAAAAGGCCAGTGAGGCTTTACAGGTACCCAGACTGAAGCTACGTGCTTAATCCAGGCTGGTCTGCACTTGGAAAACTACACAAGCAGCTTTTCTGGCTGCTAATGAATATAACATCAGCTTATCTGTGGAGAGCAAAACAAAATTCTGTTTGTTCTGTTTAATTTTAAAACAAGAAAACACACCTAGATACTCTGTCTTTACATATGCAAGTGTGGAGCCTAATTTTAATAACAGATAAGATATTGCTAACTATGGATTCCTTTTATAAACATAACAGAATAACTGCTATAAAGCTCCTTTTTAAAAGATGGAAGGACATCTGGAAACACCATGACTTTATAAATCTCCCCAAATTTGCCCACCTCTCAAAGGCACAGCTGAGTTTGTTCAGTATTGCAGAAAGCTGCCTGTAGGAATGAGCTTCCTTCCAGCATACAAACAGTTTAAATCCCTCTTTAAAAAAAAAAGAAATCTCAAACCTTAACTCATCAAAATGATACACAGAGGACCAGGCTACTCGACACCCACTGAGTGCACTTGCACCTGGTGCAGAGGTGTTAACGCAGAGGGTCCTGCTCCTAATTTCAGCTGTATCCGATGTTCCAGCTGCTGTGGGACTTGCAGTCTCCTAACGAGGTGCTCCAGGCTATGAGCTGCAGCTCCTTCTCTGTCACTTGGCAGATGAATGTTTGGTCATACCGGCGAGTAACGAGGAAATCTTCAGTCCCAAGTTCCTGTGTGCTCTCCCACCCACGGCAGGACAGCTGCACCTTTGTTTGAAGATGGATGTGTCGCTGGCACATTGTTTAAAAGCCCCTTGGGAAAGGCTATCTGAACAATTTTTCTGATTTGCTAACACTTCTTGAGTATGCCTAAACACAGCAGTGGAAATTAATTGCCCTGGTGAATTTGGTCTCATCCGGAGCCATAGACTGATGGGTCTTACATCAGTCAAAACACTGAAGACCCCTGTGCAAAAACTTCTATAAATAGGCCTCGTTACCAGAGAGGATGAGTGCCACAGACCTCACTGCCTCCAGCTAAAATGGTGGATTTCCAGCAAATTCAGATAATATGAAATCTGTATTTGAACATTCCAGTTCAAATTTTGTATCTGTATATACTGCAGACTGCTGCACTGGGTCACTTGCTGTGCTTTGTAGCAGAAAGCTCAAAACCAGCTGATGTTTAGTTGCCTAGATGATGATTTTTCTTAAATGGTGATTACAATCAAAGGAAGATGCCTCTTTAACATTACACATCCTAACCTGCCATGCTAGCTGTTAAAAAGTATTTCGATATCCAGTTTAAACTGTGTGCCCCTCTAAACAATAATTGTTATTAATGAAGCTATTCAAACTCATTATTGCAGCATGAAAGAGGCTAAAATGGTCGTCAAACAACAGGAATGCCAATATGTGTTTGAAGACAGACAGCGTATCATTTACCCCCTTAACAAATGCAATGGTGACAAGTCAAGTCAAGTCAAGTCATAAGTAGCAGCACAGCTTGTTTCTGTACTACTCGTGCAACCGCATGGAAAAGTCTGTGTTAGGGAAGAGCAGGGAAATGTTTCTCCAGCTCCTGGTGGGACTTCAGTCGGATGCGATAACCAGACAGTGAGAATTTTCCACCTCCAAGAACTGATGGGGTGGTTTGCTCTGCTGAGACACCAGTGGTTCACAG